TAAACTAATAAAGGGACAAGCACCTTGTTAACCTCATGATTCAAGTCTAGTGGACTTCTGAGTTTCTAGTAACATTAACACTGTCACACTATCATTTAAATGGAAGGGACTACTGGTAACACACTGCATTAGGTAGCACACGACACATGTAGCACATTACGTTAGGTAGCACACGACGTAGGTGGGGCACGACATAAGACTGCACACGACTTTGATAGCACCGGACATATGTAGCACAACATGGACTACCAGAGAGTGATGAGAACTGATATCAGACAAAATTAGTTGATGTCTTTACAGTTGTCATAACAGTCATTGAGTTTCCACAACTAATGACGTCTTTTATCATACGAGATAGAGAAATCGATTTTCATTAATATCAATATTTGCAAAATCATTTTAAAAAGCGATAAAATAATCTTTCTTAAGAAAATCTCCACTTTATGGCAATAAAAGATCTGTATAGATTTATATCTGTTTATTCATTACTGTTGCTACGTAGCTGTCAGAGCTGAAAGTCCTGCCTTCAGTTGTGCTATGACTCATCTCTACGGTACAACCTTGTTTCTATCCTAAAAAGAAATGACAGGTGCTGTATGGTTTAGTATCCATGTTTCCAGATTTTTAGGGAACGTATCCAAGGCTTCTAGATTTGTAGTCAATCTATCCAAGCCTTCTAGATTTGTAGGGAATATATCCAAGGCTTCTCATTTGGGTTTTCACAACCACAAAAAGAAACGATACACTAAGGTAGTGACACTCGAAGGAAATTTCAATTTTTCAGCGAATGCTGATTTAAATAAATACAAGTGTATGTATAGTATTAAACAAATACAAGTGTATGTATAGTATTAAAGCTAACTTTTCCGAGCCCCCTATTAAGCATATTATTTTAAAACATAAAGTATCCTATCCCCCCCCCCAACCCCTTTCCCTACATCTTCTATTCCTCTATGCTAAACATACATTTCCTCCTCCGATCACCACCAAAAAATAGTCAATGAACAGTATGTTCCCAGAGTGCGCCCCCTGTCAAACATGAGCACCCCTACTCACTGCTCCCCAGCTTTCCCCAAAACACAAGTAAGGGGATCCCATGTCAGTGATGCCAACCATTGCTTACAGTCGATAAGCGCTAGCTTCATTCTACACACTTTGAAAGTTGCTTCCATTTCGCCCCATATATTGTTTTATGATTGCGTACACCCTTCTGATCCCGTACACCCTTCTGATCCAGTACACCCTTCTGATCCAGTACACCCTTCTGATCCAAAACACCCTTCTGATCCAGTACACCCTTCCGATCCTTGTACACCCTACTGATCCAGGACACCCTTCTGATCCTTGAAAACCCTACTGATTCAGTACACCCTTCTGATCCTTGTACACCCTACTGATCCAGGACACCCTTCTGATCAGTACAATTACCTGCGCTCTCAGCGCGTGCACGTCACGTGTAATCCTCCCCCTCGCCCCCATTTCTTACACGCCTTACCTTTTCTCCACTTATCCTCACCTATAACACACACACATACACACACACACTGGCATCCTCCTCATGTTCCGGTCGTCTGCTCGCCAAGGTAGAAGATGTGTGAGCCAAGCGGAGGCAGGCACGTGTACATTGCTGATGCAGGCACGTGTACATTGCTGATGCCGGGCCAACTCCACCTTGCTATGTTTTTTTTAAAATGCTCACCAGGGGGAAAATATATCACGTCTTTGGTATAATTTTTATACGCTGCTGTGTTCATCAGGCCTATGTCTGTACACGTTAAGGCCTATGTCTGTGTATGTTCAGGCCTATGTCTGTGTAGTGCTGATAGCACACGGGGACGGGAGGGTATTAGGGTTGCTCATATGTGTACCAGCACAATTAGTCAGTTTTATTTCGTCTTTTCTGCTTGGTCTCAACTTCCGAAAACATTTTCCGCGGATTTAATTTTGGTTAGGGAGCTGTAGCCAAAGATCATCTCCACTCAGCTATAGCCAAATATCATCCCCACTCCGTCCGTTGGCACAAAAATGGATTGATCAGACTCAGCCCCTGAAGTTCTTGTTTCCTCCCCAATACTCCCACTTCCCCATGCCACTAAATTCTTGGCGCCCCCCCCCCCACATCCATATTATATGCCAGCTTACACTCATAACCAACGTATTAGTCTTTACGTTGGCCAAAAAAATGCACAAAAATGGATTGATCAGACTCAGCCCCTGAAGTTCTTTTTTCCCCCCCAATACCCCCCCTTCCCCATGCCACTAAATTCTTGGCGCCCCCCCCCCCCCACATCCATATTATATGCCAGCTTACACTCATAACCAACGTATTAGTCTTTACGTTGGGCAAAAAAAAGTTGTGGGGGGGAGAAGGGGGGGGCTGGAAATCTCTCAAGTTCACGGTGTTTTATGGAACTGGAACGTAGCACCACTTATTCTTATTATATTTTAAATTGTGTACGTGGTTGATAATTTGGACACTATTACTACTTGTCTTTCTGTTGACCTCTGTGTACCACCTGAAACAATGTTACGTACTACTAGTACCCGTAAAACAGGAGACCCTTGTCATAACTGACTGTTAGACACAAGTAGTAGACAGCTATGAATAGCTTGACATCGCTCCGTATCTGGAATCATTCCTGGACAATGTCGACGAAAACAAATGTCTAGAAATCCCACTACACAATGCTGTCCCATTTTCTCCATTATCAATAACTGAACCTTCCCCGAAGGTACTGGCCAATTTAGGTTTACTCCACAATTCTATACACACCAGGTCTTAAATTAATGTAGCTATCTTTTATTTGTGTTTTTTGTTGTTGAGACTTTATCTAGACCTACAACTCTTAAGAGCGAAGTTTGCTCGTCTTGGTGTTGGTAAGGTTCGTTCTTTTAAATCCACTGCATGTCTTGACGGATTGGTCTAACACGTTTCATTGATGCGAAGATAGAGTTTCATTGATGCGAAGATAGAGTTTCATTGATGCGAAAATAGAGTTTCATTGATGCGAAAATAGAGTTTCATTGATGCGAAGATAAAGTTTCATTATTTTTTTTTATTTTATAAATATGAATTTGTTTAAGTAAAGTTAAAGAAATGAACATTTCCTATCGATTCAATCAAATGCACACACACAAAATGTAATGCGTTGTTTAAAAGAAAGCCCGCTAGAAACCAGAGGGCGCCTGAAGCCGTTTATTGAAGGTCACATTAAGTTTATACCACAGAACAAAAGTGGTGTTTGGGTGGGGGTGGAAGGGGGGGGGGAAGCAAGAAACTATAGAGAGTTCAGCCAACTTACGTCGTATGTGAACATAGTTGGCTCAAGCTTTACACAACCCTAAAGTGCGCCACAGCAATGACGTCATTCCAGGAAAGGGAGATCACTCGACGCGTGATCGTTATTGCCCTTGGGGTACTTTAGGACACTCCGCCATCTTGATTCCAGTCTCACACGATAGAAGGCTTTATATCTCAAGACGTTTCATCAGTTTTAGAAGAAACCAACAAATCCCATCTTCTCCCTACTGTTGATGGAAGTTTTTCTTCTGTGCGTATAAGTCATTTGTAACAATATGATCTTCACAGATGCACGATCTTTTTGATTTGCAGACCTGATCTCGCTGATTTAGTTTTAAAACTACGAATTTTCTAAGTAAGAGAGAGATACTGACTAGATCAGGCCCGTACAGCTCCAAATGTAAGGCGGGCCGCATGCTGTGCTTGTCTGGCACTAGATCAGGCCCGCACAGCTCAAAGTGTCAGGCGGGCCTCATGCTGTTCAGGCATGGCACTAGATCACTAAAACGACTTATCACGAGATATCAGTTGGTGAAGCGGTCGTTGTTAAGCTGATATGAATTTTAGGACGGGTTTATTTGATTACTAATTGTCATGGATTAACAGATCGCCATATACAGCCTTTGAAGTCCGACACAGAATCAAAGCACTTGAAGATGTATAACAAACCTACCCCATACCCCATACCCCCATACCCCCAATAAAAGCGAATCGTTACATCAGTCCGCTAAAAGATGGAGAGACTATTTTGTACATTTAATGTAATCTCCAACTCCATAGTTCTCATTTAAAATAAAGTTAATTTTTCTTTTTAAAACATAAACCACTAAATGCTTCCTTTGCATTTTCTCAAATTTTATTTCCATGAATGATACGCTCTACGTTTGGTTCTTCCTTTAAAAAAGAGAAAAAAAATGTGGGGGTTTTTATACACCGCTTTGGTTTTTTCATCCTTTTAACAGTGCGTCATTTCAATAAATGGATAGGGGGGGAGGGGGGTTCAAAACTTGGTCGGCGTGTTAAGTTGTTTATCACTGGAGACGCCACAGTACATGTCCATTTAGATAAAACCTGCAAATTCGGGGGCATTCCCCCCCCCCGGCCTATCCAAATAACGTCCGGGTCTTTTTATTGCATGTTTTATCCATATTGAAAAAAAATGGGGTTCAAAGCTTTGTCGGCGTGTTAAGTTGTTTATCACTGGAGACGCCACAGTACATGTCCATTTAGATAAAACCTGCAAATTCGGGGGCATTCCCCCCCCCCCGGCCTATCCAAATAACGTCCGGGTCTTTTTATTGCATGTTTTATCCATATTGAAAAAAAAAACCAAACAACCTGCTTGTAGTTTTCGAGCTGTTCAGTCCCAGATCCTGATGAGAAAGAGAGCAGTATTTAAAGGTTTCTCTGTATAGAGATAAGCCAACCAGGCAAACACGATGTCTGGATGGACGCCAAGCCAGACACCTACGTTTTTCTGGGTAGTCATGACAACCGAACATTCCACAGGCCTGAAGTTGGCTGAGGAAACATTAAGAATATATGAAATGGGAACAGTCGCTCACTCAACGAAAAAGTCAAAAGGAAAAACAAACTGGTTTTGCCCACCTCTAAAACGTGGGACCATGAGTCTAGAGGAGTTGGGTTTTTTTCCCCCAGAAAACAATGTATTAATTAGGATTAGGTAACAAGTAGATGCACACAACGCTGCAAGCACTTACTGTCAATGTGTTGAACATTCTAGTCTACGTGTTCTTGTAACATTGGACTAAATTGTTAAACTTTTAGTTTGGTTTTTTTGTTTGTTTATATTTTGTCCACTACAGTTATAAACCAAATTGATTTTTCTTTTTCATTTTCCACTTTCAGATTCAAAATGGCAGAAGAGGTAAGAACTGGATTGACTTGAATGGAGCAGATTAAGTAACGGGGTCTTTAATCAGGGGAGTTGGTGATTTCTTTTTAACGGGGAGGGGGGGGGATGTCTAACTTTAACCATCCTTTGAGGACAATCTACTACTGTCTCATATTGCTTTAAAAAAAAAAAACTCATCGGATTTGGGAAATTTAAATACGTTTCTTGACGCCCCCCCCCCCTCGGTCTATAAACTGTCATTAAAGTGATGGTTGATACAGTCAAATATGACTGATCCGATTTTATATTTGATTAATTTTTTTAGCGGGGAGGGGGGCGTGAAGGGGGGCTCATCCATCTTTAAAGTCAAAGGTTAAATATTTAAGAAACGTATATAATATATATTATATATTTAGAAATATAGGAAAAATCAGAGAATATGGGAAAAGTTGACCTGATTAAAATAATAACAAACAATTGAGATCTTGATTTTAAATAAATAACTTTTTTTTTTAATGATGGGTTGGGATGTACATGGTCCTACGGATAAACTGTAATGGGAGACACAATGGGTAGTCACAATGGGCGACACAATGGGTAGTCATAATGGGAGACACAATGGGAGACACAATGGGAGACACAATTGGTAGTCATAATGGGCGACACAATGAGTAGTCACAATGGGATACACAATGGGAGACACAGTGGGAGACACAATGAGTAGTCACAATGGGAGACACATGGGTAGTAACAATGAGAGACACAATGGGAGACACAATAGGTAGTCACAATGGGAGACGCAATGGGAGACACAATGGGAGACACAATGGGAGACACAATAGGTAGTCACAATGGGAGACACAATGGGAGACACCAGTGGATCACATCAAAGATCATGATCCTGTTCCATTGTATGTATGATGCTGTCATGTTATTATTTAATGTCTAGCTCTCAACTGTGAAATTAAACAAACAAGGGTTCTTTTTCCTAGTGTTATAGCATTAAATAGTCATCAAAAGAAATGTTTTGAAATGTCAAAGGAATGGCGTGTTGAGTGGGTTTCCTTGTTATTTCCAAGATTGATTTCTTTAGAATTGAGTTTGTTCAGCACTCAGTTTGTTTAGCATTGATTTCTTTAAGCATTTTTTAAGATTAAATGACAAATAAATTTTGAAGATGCTCTTCTAGTGGATGCATTGAATGTTTTATTCTTTGAACTACAGGTTTTGAACCCACGTCACTTAGAGAGAGAGACAAAGTTTTTTTGTTTTTTTTGTCATGCCATTTGCCTAGTTGCAACTATAGATCAAGTTATGCAGCAACTATAGCTTAGATCAATCTTCTGTTTTGTACTGCTTACATCATATATCCACTGCATTGTATATCTTTCTTTACATACATGTATTTATAACTATCATACGCAGCCACTTGGTCTTGAAACATGAGAAGTTTCACGTTAAACCGAGAATTATATATATTTTTTTCAAATTAAAAAAAAATGAACTATAATTACTCATTCAGGCTGGTGTATGATTATTATAAATTTTGCATTTTTAATACACGCCTGCAAACGGACTTTTTAAAATCTGAAAATGCCACTGTAGGAGCTCTTGCAATTGTCATTGAAAACAAAAGCATGATACAATTTATTTTATCAATATTAAAAAAAAGAACCATCAAATATAATTATTATCATTTTTTTTTTTTACTTTGAAGCAAAAATCTGTTCTAATTATCTTACTCTTTTTTAGCGCAAAGGAGTGGACTGGATTGGACATCATTAAGCATTGAAGTTGAAAAAAAAAAAAAAAAAAAAAAAAAACAACTAAAAAAGCCTGCAAGTCACAAAGCTCAAATTTTGTAAAGAAACAATTCTCTTCTAAAATTTCTTTTGCAGTAGTGTCCAAACATATATTTAATAATTACATAAATAATTTATCAAGTAGCACTGTCTTCCTTCTCCTAATTACTTTCCCTTTTTTTTTTTATTAAAATGTAATGCAATGTTCAATGACTTGTTTGTGTGTTGCCTCACTCATTCTAGCCAGTGTTTTCTTTCAGCTATCCCTTGTCCCACAATCCCCTGCGGTAGACGTTCTCTTAGAACGCTGTAGCAGAAGACAGCGCGTAGAAGAGCTGCTTGGACATGCGCATTGATGTATTTCTGCTTGACGTGCCCTGGTGACGTAGTATTAGCCCAATAGCGCTCTAGCTTGCCAGCACTTTCCCCCTTCTATCTTTACCGGCTCTGACAAAAGGTCACTCTCGTCACAAAAGATCATCTCAGTAACAAAAGATCATCTCATAACATCCAAGAACTAAAAGATTCATGAGTGAAGTAGCGAAACTTAATATTAACCAACTTCACAATCCATGGCTATATATTTGACACTTGTCTGATATACATGCATTCCATTTGAAGCATTTATTCATATATTTATATAGTAAAAGGTGATTTATATTCTTTCCTGTATACGTCATCTCAAGAGGTAATTTAAAAATCATTCAGTTTTTTTTTTAAACAATGACACCCAGATAGCAGGAGAAAAGTAAATAAAAAAAACACAAAACAACAACAACAACAAAAACAACAACAACAAAAACAACAACAACAAAAACAACAACAACAAAAACAACTGCTACTTGAGTTTGACTTTTTGTCATGAGCCAGTCACCTGCTGTTCGTCAAGATATTGGGCCTTATGCTGTTCTTACGTTTTTCAGGAAGATAAGAAGGGTCGGGCTGGGAGAGCCACTTCTAACGTCTTCGCCAAGCTGTCCAAAAAGCTGATGCAGGAAATGAAGGAGGTAGGACGGCGAAAGTAGTTCGCCCCACAGTAGAGATGTAATGCCTGCTCGAATTTCTCTCTCTCTTTCAGGCCATTAAGTCCAAAAAGGATGAGCCCAAGCGTGCTCAGCGTGCCCCCTCCAACGTTTTCGCCATGTTCCGCCAGACACAAGTCCAAGAGTTTAAAGAGGTCTGAATACCATGAGCACGGCATCCCCCAGTATAAAATCTGTTCATTGTAATCTGCTCAAAAAACAAACATCCAACGGGCCTGCTGTTACTACAGATCAAAAAACTCTGCTTGCATCATCAATTTTTTGTGTTACGCTAATTTGATTTATTTGATTTCCGTTTAGTTTTTTTTCCCCCCACAACCCTCGCCTCTGACTGGACCGACAAGCTCCTTTTCTCGATGTCCTGCCCAATGTTATTCTGGCCCAAAGCCTTCTCGGGAGGCATGTCGCATCATTTTTGGTGCGGGCGCTCGCCTTTTCTTTCTGGTATATTCACTCTATTGCTGTCTATGATTTGTTTAAGAAACAAGGGCGTCATACGACCAACGTGCTCTCTATGTTTCGTCAAGCACAAGTTCAAGAGTACAAAGAGGTCTGCCTTTGACACCCGTGTTCTGCCCTTGACACCCGTGTTATGCCCTTGACACCCGTGTTCTGGGTTTGGTACCCGTGTTCGGCTTTCCTCTCCCTAAAAATCCAACAAACATCCTAATGTGTTTCTTCCTTTTCTTCCCTGTAAAATACACGTCCTCCCAATATTCCCAAAATGTCTCTCCATCTCTCGCCGCCCTTGCTTGTCAAATTCCATTGTTCAATTAATCGTTTGAGTGTTGTTTGTTTACAATTCCCAAAGTAATAAATAGGGCCCTACCTTATGAAAGACAATTCTTTTGGTCATTTCCAAACTTTTCATTATATTTTTTAAGAACGTGTTTAAAAACATAAAAATATGTTAAATTTTATTCTAATTTAAAGAATGAACTTTCTTCTTAAAACGACACATATTTTTATTTTTTTTTATTTTTCCCTAAAATATTCCAAAGAGAAACATGAAATTGTTTCTTCTCTTTTGAGAAAAGCGCAATAAATCTCTACTTTTACAATTAATTTCTAGTTCCCACTTAACTCGTGGCCAGGTTTCTTCAGCCTGGCCGGGCAGTTTTGACTTCTTAATTGGCAAGTGAGATTTCTCTCTCCCGCCGCTCTTTGATTCTCCTATCTCTTCTAGGTTTTTATTTTGGTTTTTTTTTTTTGGAGGGCCCAAAATCACTTTACTGATCATTCGTGTTCCTGGTTTAAGTTTCAGTTCTATCATTGTTTTCCTAACCTGAATAGATGACACAATCAGCGCTTTGTTTCCAAATGTGTGAAATAACTCCCCGTTAATCATGCTGTTGATCAAGACGTATCTCCTTGAGAATCCATTTTGGACTGACCATTGTATTGCCGAGTTGGATTTCACGTCCTGGTGTTGTTGTTTCCAAATGAACGAGTCATCGTTGTTTTGTTTCGTTGCATGTTGAATTGAATTGTTCAACTAAATCAAGACACGTTGCTAGAAAAAAATCTAATTTTTTATATTTTAAAATGTGATGTAACCATTTAATATGTACATATTCTAGTTCAACTTAAATTATCAATAAATATTTATTGGATATTTTTATTTTTAAATTAATTATAATCTTAATCCATTATGTTTTACATTACATATTTTTTTTTTAAATTTCATGTTTTTTTATATGTACGTTTACCTTAAAATTTGCCATTTAAGATTACGTTAATATTATTACAAACTGGAATTTTAAGAACTAAATAATATTTGTCTATTTCATGGAATAGATATACACACATCAACTTTACATCATCAAATAAGGCGCACCTCTCGATTAACTTTGTTCTAACCTCTACACTGCTTGTGTCAGAATAACTTTGGTAGGATTCAATGCTTATCTAACGGGTCATTACCACACAATCTCTCAATCTCCAGAAGTGGCGTCCCTGGCAACATAAGAGCAATAATGATAATAATATTGATAAATCAAGATTGTATTTAAGAAAACCCTCAGGAATACTTGTTAAATTAGTCCAGGATTATTCACCAAACCCGCCCCCACCAAAAAACAACAGCAACAACAACAAAACAAGCAGCTTTCACATCCCGTTTAATTAGATCCATCTTTCATTAATATTATATCCCATTTGGGCTTGAATCCTACCAAGGATATCCTAATGTTTAATACGTTAATAAAAGGATCAAATTTTATCACGTGCAAATAAATGCATAACATACTTATCAAACCAAGGCTTAATTTATAACAACCATTTACTGACAATACAGTTGCAATGCTCGACAAATATGAGTAAAGTTCATAACAAGGCTTACTAATATAATCACGCGTCCTTTGATTAACTTGCTTGTATTTATAAAATCTAACATAGAATGCGAAAAATTAATTTTAAGAAATAAATAAAAAGGCGATACAGCTAAAAAAACAAAAAAAAAACAATCAGTAACAGGTGAAATCTTGAACTAGTTTACATCTAGTCAAAGCGTAGTCTTCATGTAGTCTAGCAATAACTTTCATCTAGCCTAAATGTAGTTTTCCTGCAGTGGAGATAATATCTATGCAGTTACGCTTTAGTTTAGATGTTCTAACATCAATGATATTAATGCACGATAAACAAAGATATGTCGTCGTAACTGTGGCTTAGAATAGATCAATAGAATAGATGTTCTTTGTGTCTCTAGATAACTACGTAGACACTTCTCTCGACTTGTATAACTGTACGCACAACACTAAATTGAAGATATCGTCAAAAAATGGCAACTTTATCACGTCATCAATCTATCAAATGTAGTATAAACACAATCAAATACTTGTGCAATAAAAAACATTCTGTAGACTCGAAGTAAATTCATGTATTTTGTAATAAATGTCTGACACCCCAAAAATTCTCCCATCCCCTTGGGTCATTCTCCCACAATTTAGGCATTCACAATGATTGACCAGAACCGCGATGGAATCATCGACATTGAAGACCTCAAGGACATGTACTCTAACCTTGGTGAGTTGAACAAGTCTTTTTCACAGTCGATTCTTCATAATACTTTGCTCATCATCTGTTTCTGTCCGGTGTTTAAAATGATGTGGAAACAAGGTGTCAAATAAATTGAACATGTCAACAGCTCATATGAACCATTTACCTTTTAATGAGAGGAAACAACACATTCTCAAGGGTGTTCGTGAAATCCACCACCCCCCCCCCACACACACACACGCACACATTCATTAGACAGCGTTAACTTCTCTTCAACACGTGTTGGATTGATTTTTCTTTTTTATAATACTTTGTTCATTGTCTGTTTCTGTTCGGTGTTTAAAAAGATGTGGAAACAAGGTGTCAAATAAATTGAACATGTCAACAGCTCATATGAACCATTTACCTTTTAATGAGAGGAAACAACACATTCTCAAGGGTGTTCGTGAAATCCACCCCCCCCCCCCACACACACACACGCACACATTCATTAGACAGAGTTAACTTCTCTTCAACACGTGTTGGATTGATTTGTCTTGCTTTCCTCAATCCTTGCACCCAGGGCGCATCCCTCCCGACTCCGAGCTGAATGAGATGCTGAAAGATGCCCCCGGACCCCTCAACTTTACCATGTTCCTGAATCTCTTTGGTGAAAAGCTCAGCGGTAAGTAGGGTCGAAGTGTTTGTACATGAATGGTTTGTTTGTACATGAATGGTTTGTTTGTACATGATTGGTTTGTTTGTACATGATTGTTTTTTTGTACATGAATGGTTTGTTTGTACATGAATGGTTTGTTTGTACATGATTGGTTTGTTTGTACATGAATGGTTTGTTTGTACATGATTGGTTTGTTTGTACATGAATGGTTTGTTTGTACATGAATGGTTTGTTTGTACATGAATGGTTTGTTTGTACATGAATGGTTTGTTTGTACATGAATGGTTTGTTTGTACATGATTGGTTTGTTTGTACATGATTGTTTTTTTTGTACATGAATGGTTTGTTTGTACATGAATGGTTTGTTTGTACATGATTGGTTTGTTTGTACATGAATGGTTTGTTTGTACATGAATGGTTTGTTTGTACATGATTGGTTTGTTTGTACATGATTGTTTTTTTGTACATGAATGGTTTGTTTGTACATGAATGGTTTGTTTGTACATAATTGGTTTGTTTGTACATGATTGGTTTGTTTGTACATGATTGGTTTGTTTGTACATGATTGGTTTGTTTGTACATGATTGGTTTGTTTGTACATGATTGGTTTGTTTGTACATGATTGGTTTGTTTGTACATGATTTTTTAATTTTTTTTAAAATTTACTTTTGTCTACATCTTTTATATGTCCAGGTACTGACCCAGAAGACACCATCAGACAAGCCTTTTCCATGTTTGACGCAGAGGGCAAAGGTTTCATTCCTGAAGAATAGTGAGTTGCCAGTTCAAACTTTACAAGCGTTTGTTTTGCTGTTATTGATGTGTTGTTATTTTTTTTTAATTATCAAATACGTGAGGTAATAACCCATGTTTACTCAACTAATGTGCTACTTCAATGATAGACACCCATGTTTACTCAACTAATGTGATACTTCAATGATAGACACCCATGTTTACTCAACTAATGTGATACTTCAATGATAGACACCCATGTTTACTCAACTAATGTGCTACTTCAATGATAGACACATGTCATTGAAGCTTTGTTCATATTTAACGTGTTAACGTGTGCCAACATTTAGCGTCGTGAATTCTCGTATCTCTTATGTCAATTTCTTCCTCTCCCTTTCAGCTTGAAAGATTTGCTCTCCAACATGGGTGACAACTTCACTGCAGAAGAAGTAAGTCAACTATATTATGAGAGGATGCAAGACACTGGTAGTAGCTTAGCTAGTGTTTGAGAGGCTAATTTATAACATGCAGACTGTGTTCAATGAACGATTGTATTTATAGGACTGAGAAAAGTACATAATGATCAGAATATTCAAATTTAAATTCTATTTATTGTTTCTTGTTTTGTCTTATCTGCTGAAGAAGGCGTTTGGCCAAAACGCCCATGTAATTTCCCTGTTTGTTATCAAGCCCAAACAAATCTTACTCTACTATTTGTTTACTTTGCACCGCTTGGTAAATCTCACTTTATAAATTCAAACAAAACACGCTTCCGAAGTAAACGACTGAAGTAACAAAGTGTCTATGTATACCTAAATGTGTCTATGTATACCTAAATGTGTCTATGTATACCTAAATGTGTCTATGTATACCTAAATGTGTCTATGTATACCTAAATGTGTCTATGTATACCTAAATGTGTCTATGTATACCTAAATGTGTCTATGTATACCTAAATGTGTCTATGTATACCTAAATGTGTCTATGTATACCTAAATGTGTCTATGTATACCTAAATGTGTCTATGTATACCTAAATGTGTCTATGTATACCTAAATGTGTCTATGTATACCTAAAAGTGTCTATGTATACCTAAATGTGTCTATGTATACCTAAATGTGTCTATGTATACCTAAATGTGTCTATGTATACCTAAATGTGTCTATGTATACCTAAATGTGTCTATGTATACCTAAATGTGTCTATGTATACCTAAATGTGTCTATGTATACCTAAATGTGTCTATGTATACCTAAATGTGTCTATGTATACCTAAATGTGTCTATGTATACCTAAATGTGTCTATGTATACCTAAATGTGTCTATGTATACCTAAATGTGTCTATGTATACCTAAATGTTTCTATGTATACCTAAATGTTTCTATGTATACCTAAATGTGTCTATGTATACCTAAATGTGTCTATGTATACCTAAATGTGTCTATGTATACCTAAATGTTTCTATGTATACCTAAATGTGTCTATGTATACCTAAATGTGTCTATGTATACCTAAATGTGTCTATGTATACCTAAAAGTGTCTATGTATACCTAAATGTGTCTATGTATACCTAAATGTGTCTATGTATACTTACATGTGTCTATATATACCTAAATGTTTCTATGTATACCTAAATGTTTCTATGTATACCTAAATGTGTCTATGTATGCCTAAATGTGTCGATGTAATCATGCACACTCAAAAGTTTTCACGTCATCTTGAACTCTACAGATCAAAGGAACCTGGAAGGAAGCTCCCTTGGAAAAAGGAAAGTTCGACTACAACACCTTTGTGGGGATCCTCAAGGGCAAAGAGGATGACGGCTCACCATAAACAACACCCTCACACCCCTCCTCAAGTTTCTAGAATCAAGCTCTCTTCTCATGACCTTCTCATGACCTTCTCACCATTTCAGATTCAATAGAAACATTTTTCAAAAAGGGAAAGGATATCTAGTTTACTACGTATATCTGTAAAAGTTCTTTCATAAATATTTTGGTTTTATATGAAAAGATGGTCTTTGTTACTTCAACAAAAAAAATTATTAAAATTTCGTAATGGTTTTTAAAAGTTAAAAAAAACTTTTGGTTTTAACGCCCCCCCCCCCCCACCCACACACACACTTTCAGCCCTGAAACTCTACAAGTTCCATAATTTGCTGGTTGTTAGTTTCATGAGATACAGGTTGTAAAAATTCTTTCATAAATATTTTGGTTTTATATGAAAAGATGGTCTTTGTTACTTCAAAAAAAAAAATTATTAAAATTTCGTAATGGTTTTTAAAAGTTAAAAAAAACTTTTGGTTTTAACGCCCCCCCCCCCACCCACACACACACTTTCAGCCCTGAAACTCTACAAGTTCCATAATTTGCTGGTTGTTAGTTTCATGAGATACAGGGAACACGCCTTTCGCCCCTTTTTATTTTCTCCCCTCGCAAATTTCTCTCTGAAATGTTCCAGGCCAAAGAGTGTCACCATTCCATACATCACTGAACCGACTTGGCGAGCATCCTGAGTTTGTGCTCCGAAACTCTGATCAGGGTTAGACTGAGATAACAAACATGTGACATTCTGTGACATCACTGTGGATGTTTGTGACATCGCTGTAGGTGTTTGTTCATCGTGGCAATTAAGCAGCTTTGCACAACGCAAAAAAAGTATTTTAACTCGATACCAGGTCACAAAATGAACAACCCTCATGATGAGTTATCCTTCAGATAATCCGGCTCAGGGTTGAGTTGAACAAACTACTAACTTTTCATACGGCTGCTGATGGGTAGAACTGATTTTTGTCTTTTTAGGGTGGATTTTTTAAAAAAAGGGACCTTAATTATTATGCTTTTTTATAATCTACGAAATTTTACATCCTCAACAACTGCGGGACGAATACAAAGAACATCAACCACTAGAACCACCTTGATGAGACAGAGGAGGGCTACTCTGAGCATTGCAAAGTTCTCAATTTCTGTTGGCCTGGGACAATTCGCGTTGACAAATTCAAATGAAAAAAAAAACCAAACTTCATCTTACAATTGTTATTAAAAGCAAGTCTGAGAACTCCAATTGCGTTCTATTTTTTAACCTTCGACTTCCTTCCCCTTAATTCTGCCCTCACCACTAGCAGAGCCATGGCAGTAATTCTGGATACATTTAGTATTATTATTGTTTTCGTCTACACGAATGAGTGATGAGTGAAGAGTGTACTATAGACTTATCCTCTAGCTGCTTGTAGATCAACTGTAGGGGTAACGTTTTCTTGGAACTATTAATTTAATATTTTTTAAAATGTTATTTTCGATTTCTCTTTATTGATTCTTATTTTTTTGATTGATTGTCGAATTCCGTCATTTTGATGATCGGATTTGTCAGTCATTCAACGTTCATCTTGATGCTGTGTATAAAACAAAACCAACCAACAAAGAACATTTTGTACATTTGTATAAGTCTGACCTTCCATTATTTTTTTTTTAATTGATATAATACGAGATTTGTTTACGTGTATCACGAGGTTGTCGCTCGTGCCCTGTGTGTGACGACGTTCAAAAAACTAGTCAACGGTTCGGACGTGGTGTGTGATAGACTGGCGATGTTCACAGTAGCCGTGTGCACGGCTACCGGGGGTTCCCAAATGACATCCGTGGGGGGCCCCCGTGGCCATGTGGAGTGATCCTGCGTCCTATTTATTTAATAAAAAAACAAAAAAACTCTGTGCACAGAAATGGATTTATTTTTGTCATTTTCTTTTTAAACTTAAAACTGTTTGTTGATTTTGTTTTCGTGTTCTTATGCCCTGAACGGCGGAGGTACTTTCAATAATTAAACAACCCCTACAAAGCAAAAGATTTCGTATAAATCATTTATAAATTATAATAAAGAGCAACGTGGGGGTGGGGTGGGGGTAAATATTTAACAAAACATGCATACAAGTAACATATTTTAAAAGAATAAAATTGGTTCCCGCCCCCCCCCCTTCAAGGCTCACAACCACATAGTATTGTCAAGCTCCTAAACTCTATTAATATTCTAATGACCCACATGCTTTTATAGTGATTTTATTACACCAACTATTTCCGAAAAAAAACATCAAACGCGCGTGCGACATTTTTACGAGACTCTTGTAGCAGCAGTTCTCGGGACTGTTAGGGGGTATAATCAGTGCCATCTTTTGCCTTCAGCTCGCCCTCGGGAATGTTAGGGGGTATAATCAGTGCCATCTTTTGCCTTCAGCTCCCCCTCGGGAATGTTAGGGGGTATAATCAGTGCCATCTTTTGCCTTCAGCTCCCCCTTGGGACTGTTAGGGGGTATAATCAGTGCCATCTTTTGCCTTCAGCTCCCCCTCGGGAATGTTAGGGGGTATAATCAGTGCCATCTTTTGCCTTCAGCTATCCCTCGGGACTGTTAGGGGGTATAATCAGTGCCATCTTTTGCCTTCAGCTCCCCCTCGGGAATGTTAGGGGGTATAATCAGTGTCATCTTTTGCCTTCAGCTATCCCTCGGGAATGTTAGGGGGTATAATCAGTGCCATCTTTTGCCTTCAGCTCCCCCTCGGGAATGTTAGGGGGTATAATCAGTGCCATCTTTTGCCTTCATCTCCCCCTCGGGAATGTTAGGGGGTATAATCAGTGCCATCTTTTGCCTTCAGCTCCCCCTCGGGAATGTTAGGGGGTATAATCAGTGCCATCTTTTGCCTTCAGCTCCCCCTCGGGAATGTTAGGGGGTATAATCAGTGCCATCTTTTGCCTTCAGCTCCCCCTCGGGAATGTTAGGGGGTATAATCAGTGCCATCTTTTGCCTTCAGCTCCCCCTCGGGAATGTTAGGGGGTATAATCAGTGCCATCTTTTGCCTTCAGCTCCCCCTCGGGAATGTTAGGGGGTATAATCAGTGCCATCTTTTGCCTTCAGCTCCCCCTCGGGAATGTTAGGGGGTATAATCAGTGCCATCTTTTGCCTTCAGCTCCCCCTCGGGAATGTTAGGGGGTATAATCAGTGCCATCTTTTGCCTTCAGCTCCCCCTCGGGAATGTTAGGGGGTATAATCAGTGCCATCTTTTGCCTTCAGCTCCCCCTCGGGAATGTTAGGGGGTATAATCAGTGCCATCTTTTGCCTTCAGCTCCCCCTCGGGAATGTTAGGGGGTATAATCAGTGCCATCTTTTGCCTTCAGCTCCCCCTCGGGAATGTTAGGGGGTATAATCAGTGCCATCTTTTGCCTTCATCTCCCCCTCGGGAATGTTAGGGGGTATAATCAGTGCCATCTTTTGCCTTCATCTCCCCCTCGGGAATGTTAGGGGGTATATTCAGTGCCATCTTTTGCCTTCATCTCGCCCTCGGGAATGTTATTTGGTAAAATAAGTGTCATCATACTGCCTTCATCTCCCCCTCGGGAATGTTATTTGGTAAAATCAGTGTCATCATATTGCCTTCATCTCCCCCTTGAGAATGTTATTTGGTAAAATCAGTGTCATCATATTGCCTTCAGCTCTCCCTCGGGAATGTTATTTGGTAAAATCAGTGTCATCATACTGCCTTCATCTCCCCCTCGGGAATGTTATTTGGTAAAATCAGTGTCATCATATTGCCTTCATCTCCCCCTCGGGAATGTTATTTGGTAAAATCAGTGTCATCATATTGCCTTCATCTCGCCCTCGGGAATGTTATTTGGTAAAATCAGTGTCATCATATTGCCTTCATCTCCCCCTCGGGAATGTTATTTGGTAAAATAAGTGTCATCATACTGCCTTCATCTCCCCCTCGGGAATGTTATTTGGTAAAATCAGTGTCATCATATTGCCTTCATCTCCCCCTTGAGAATGTTATTTGGTAAAATCAGTGTCATCATATTGCCTTCAGCTCTCCCTCGGGAATGTTATTTGGTAAAATCAGTGTCATCATACTGCCTTCATCTCCCCCTCGGGAATGTTATTTGGTAAAATCAGTGTCATCATATTGCCTTCATCTCCCCCTCGGGAATGTTATTTGGTAAAATCAGTGTCATCATATTGCCTTCATCTCCCCATCGGGAATGTTATTTGGTAAAATCAGTGTCATCATATTGCCTTCATCTCCCCCTCGGGAATGTTATTTGGTAAAATCAGTGTCATCATATTGCCTTCATCTCCCCCTCGGGAATGTTATTTGGTAAAATCAGTGTCATCATATTGCCTTCAGCTCCCCCTCGGGAATGTTATTTGGTAAAATCAGTGTCATCATATTGCCTTCATCTCCCCCTCGGGAATGTTATTTGGTAAAATCAGTGTCATCATACTGCCTTCATCTCCCCCTCGGGAATGTTATTTGGTAAAATCAGTGTCATCATATTGCCTTCATCTCCCCCTCGGGAATGTTATTTGTAAAATCAGTGTCATCATACTGCCTTCATCTCCCCCTGGAAAAACAGGGAAATTGTATTTTGGGGTGTTGGGATTGATTGGTGTGCCCCACGGACCTAAATTACATTTCATCAATACTTTCACAGGACAAGGCTTATCAGCGATTCAGAAACGCACAGATTCTGAAATATATGTGTGCACAGCTTGGCACAACAAACTTAAAAGAATTTCAGACGTCTTAGCTGACGACTCTCAGCATCAAAGTATCCATACTAATAGATGTCAAGATAAAATAAACAAGCAAAGTGGTGATCCCATATGTTACGTACAGTCCCGGATCAGCCTAAAGGCATAAAATAAGGCTCGTGCCACGCAGACCTCTCCCTCTCAGCCAAAAGAGTACGATACATTCTCGAACTAAATAAATTGTATAACAATGAACCATCAATTAAAATTTAATCTAAAACTCACTTCGCAATTTAACTATTAAATTTAAATAATTTTAACTTCAAAGAACTACAACATTGCTAAACTAACATCGTAGACTAATTGAAGATTTGTCACAAGTAATGATTGAAGCAGGAACTCAGCTTCACTTTGAGATGAAATCTGAGAACAATGTGGGATAATCGTGAATTCACTGACAGGACAAAAGATTGACATTTCGGCCAAGAGAAAACAAGACAAAAAAAAAATATATAAGTATCAGATCGCAGTAAAAAAGCTATAGGGATTTCCTTTTTGTTGCCGGAAGTAGGATTACAGGATTAGAATTATTATATTTTTGACTTTGAGAACAAACAATTACAAACATTAGACTAGATAATTATATAATACTAGGTGACCCGCGGCGTAGCATACACCGCGAGCTGGTTGGGGTGTGCGAATGGCTGGCAAGCGAGGGTGGATATAGCCCGTCAAACATTGGCGACAGCAATGCGTGAATTTTCCATCTACTAAAGTTACTTGACAAAAACGTGAACTCAAGTTACGCATATTTAAGAATGCCAATTTTGCTACACCCCCATCCCCCCCTTTTTTCAAGATATGTCACGGCACTTTTTATTTCACGCCGCGACCCGCGGCTCAGCATACGCCGCGAGCTGGCTGGTAAGCGAGGGTGGCGAGAGAAGGGAGGGGAGGGTTTGCCTGCGTCTTGCTTGCTCTGGCGTATCTAATAATATCCTGCGTGTAGACTTAGTCTTGTTGTTTGCCCTACTTCTGGCGAATTATATATATAGATAGCGTCTCTCAAACCTTTAGGTTTGACGGAACGGTTAACTAAATGTACATTGCATAAGGGACCGGTTGACAAAATGTACATTGCACAAGGGACCGGTTGACAAAATTTACATTGCACAAGGGACCAGTTGACAAAATTAACATTGCACAAGGGACCAGCGGACAAAACTTACATTGCACAAAGTACCAGTTCAAAAAAAATTACATTGCACATGGGACCGGTTGACAAAATTTACACTGCACAAGGAACCGGTTTAAAAAATGTACATTGCACAAGGGTACGGTTGACAAAATTTACACTGCACAAGGAACCGGTTGAAAAAATTTACATTGCACAGCGGACCATTGGACAAAATTTACCCAAAGGACCGTTGGACAAAATTTACATTGCACCAAGGACCGGCTGATAAAATTTACATTGCACCAAGGACCGGTTGATAAAATTTACATTGCACCAAGGACCGGTTGATAAAATTTACATTGCACCAAGGACCGGTTGATAAAATTTACATTGCACCAAGGACCGGTTGATAAAATTTACTTTGCACCAAGGACCGGTTGATAAAATTTACATTGCACCACGGACCAGCGGACGGTGCCCAAATTAAACATGTTTTAAAGTATTTTTAAATACGCAATGAGTCAATTCGATAGGACGAGATTATCTCCCACCATTTAAAGCTAGTTGTCAATTTCGATTTTTAGTTAAGTATATTTGAAAAAAACAAAAACAAACTTCAATAGCAGTTATTTATATATATATATATATATATTATCGTCAACGGGCTACTTAAATACTTTAGGTTAGATTCTTCTTCTTCTTTTTGACCGTTTAAAGTCCTTTGTTTCCACGCTCGGCATGGGTAGGACATACTTGGACACATGAATCCATTAACTCTGACCAGTGTTGCAACGCAAGGGAGTTTTGGAGCGATTGGTTTTGACGGCCGGATGCCCTTCCCCGACGCCAGCATCACTTAGAGGATCCTGGTTACCCTATTTAAACCCGGGCACATGGGCTCAACCGCTGAGCTCTGTGTAAGCAGGGGCGTAAGATATTTAGTTTGACTTGTGTACACCGTTGTCTTTAAAATCATTTGATTTAGATATTTAAACTTGTATATTTAAATTGCAATTATTTTATTTACAAAAATGAATTAAAAATAATGCAAAATAGTAAAGCATAATATTATTTTGCAGTTTCCGTCGTTATTTCAATCCCCATGGCAGAGAGAAAACGATTGTCTGGCGCACAGTATCGTACAG